TCTAATTGAATAATAATCGTATCAACTATAAGGTTCGGTGACCCTCCTCTCACGATCGTAGATTCTCTCTTTCTCTCGCACGGAATCTTCTAGTTTCCTTTATAATTTATTATTTCTTTTATCAAATAAGCCTGGTTATTCTTATGTTTGGAAATTACAATTTTGAAGGTTTTTAACGTCTATTATTGCTGCGCGTAGAAAGTATGTGTGTATATAGGTCAAAATCTGCGTTGCGCTTTTTTCGAGATTTATTGCTGAGATATTATTGATTTATTGAGCTTTTTCATTTGAAACCGAAACTCTAAGGGCTGTTTGATGTCTTTTCACAATTGTTGAAACATTACGACGTAAAACCAGCACCATCCACCTTCGTTTTACGTAATAGTATGTCGGTGTAGACCTTAAAACTTGCGTCATTTCAATTTCGTTTTATTTTTTACTGAATACTTTTATTTTTCTCAATGCAATTAAAATAAAAAAGACGTATTTTTTCATAAAAATCTACAAAAAAGCAGCTTCATTATAATATTTTTATTTTTTAAATAGTTTTTAAACTTTTTTTTGTCGTGTACATAAGCATGTAAACATTTAACATGAAATTATGCGCTTGGTCATACATAAAAATTTACAAAATAAATTATATAAATGCTCGTGTACTTGTAAAAAGATATAAAATATCGCGTTTGTGTATCAAAACAATTATCATTTTATGACTTTTATGGGTCTGTTTATATTTTGTTTTGCGTAGGATAATCGCTTTTTTTGTAGGCTCAGGCCATGGCCTATTTATTTAAACAATATCCAAATACAATCACGCGACGTTTTGTTGACTTAGAACATGTTCTCTTTATTTAATTGAACATTTGGTTAAGAGTCATAAAAGACTTTGTTTTGTTAATTATCCTTTAACTCTTATTTTCTTTTGATCAGCGACGAACTGTCTGTTATTATCTAATCTTAAGAAACAAATTGAATGACACTTCTTTACAAATCATTTCGCCTCTGGCTTGTTATAGAACATTCTGGACTGAAGTTAATTTGAAGATTGAATACAGTTTTTAAGGAAGTTGTTTGCCTCCTGGACCTCATTTTTCTACACAAGCAGGATTTTCTAGCCGAAGAATGGCTTCAGAAGATTAATCTAGACATTAAAGAAAGCACACAAGCAAACATGTTTGTAGCATGTTTTTAAATTAATTAACGCTCAAATTTATGTCATACTTGTGTTAGTTAAATAATTAGGTGATAATCATTTTTATCGCAACATTACAAATAAACTTAGTAATTTGACTGTTGTAATGTAAATGTAATATTCAGGGTGTGTAATTTATTAAGTGCTATTTCTAAATTCTGTTCCTCTAGCACACTTGTGAGTCCTAGTTTATCAAAAAATTTGTTTGGCAGTCCGCAGAATCGTGTAAAGATTCAAATTTTTTTTCCTGCTTCCTTTGACGCGTTGTGTTGTTTCTTTCCTTCCAAAACTTGTAAATTGGAGGTTTTTGTGTCCAATGAGTGAATTCCACTGTTTCCTCATTTACATCATGTCTTTTTGTCTAAGATACTCATTGATAGTTCGCTGACAGTCAAAAATGTAAAAAACGCACTTGTAATATAACTTGATATGTATATTTTTATATATTAATCAAAGTTTCAGGTTTTTTAACGTTTAATAATTGAGTCTTTGTTTTAAAAAGTTTAAAAAATGTAAAATCCTAAGGGAAATGAAAAAAAAGATGGACAGATAAAATTTGTCTTAATTTTGTTTTAGTTACTTAACATTTCAATATCACATATTTCCTCCTCTTTCTTTAATTATATCTGAAAGACTTACGGTTAGTTTCTACCACTCTGGAAATGTCTCTTTGCTAGAGGTTAGTCCATTCTTCATTTTGCTGTTGAAGGTACGTTTATACTATGTGAACGACATGTGGACGGGCATTATCGTACTTTAGAATAGGATTGTCGCAGATTTCATCGAGGAATGGTAACGCATGATGTTCCAAAATTACTTCCACATAGCAAGTGGCCGTCAAAGACCCTCCACGAACAACAACCAACCCTGTGCGATTTCCCATTGACATTCCAGCCCACACCATCACTGAGCTATGTTGAAAAGGTTGGCTCTGGGAAAAATTACAGGCTTTGTACCTTTCATTTCGCCTTCTCCACACTCTTTCACACCCATCTGGAGATTGTAGAGCAAATCTACATTCATCTGTAAAAAGTACAGCAGACCAATCGTCCAATGATCAATGGCTGTGTCTTGAGCAAATGCAAGCTGTTGAACTCTATGTGTTTGATCCTCTTATAGAGCGAAAAGCCATCAGTCCATACTGATTTAATCTTCTTCGAGTAGTGTGTTCAGAAATTTTGACACCTTGTACTTCCTGGAGCTGATGAATCGCTTGAATAACAGTAAGGTGCCGGTTTCACAAAACTCAAAGTTAAAAAACAGTCATCCTGTGGTTCTGTTACCCTAGGGCGTCCAGAACCGTGCCTTCAATGGTAGCATCCAGTTTCTTGAAAGCATGTAACAACGTCTCACAGTGTTTCACAGGGAACTGATACCTGATGGAACGTCCATCATCAATATGTGCCACACCACGCGAAACATCCTCAGCACTAAGTGGAATTTTTAAATTTAAAAATTGAAATTAAGAAAACAAAGATGAAAATTAAAACAGTTTATTGCTTCAGAATTCAAATGAGACTGAATAAGCATTTTAAATTCTGTAAAAAATTAAACATTGAAAAATACTTTATCCTTGTTTTGGATTAAAGATTAAGTGTGTTTACCTCTAATTGATATTCCCAATTTAATACACAGCATAAACAAATATTTATTGATAAAAACAATGAGACAAATTAAGGGCAGAACTTTCTTTTATCAAAAAAATTCAATGAGGTGGAATTTTTTGCCTGTCAGTGTATGAATCCCCATGCCACAGAAGGACTCAAGACCTATCTAACGGTAAATCTCCTTTCCTTTCAAGGGACTCCCTCACTTCTCTTGTATTTTGCATGCCTAATTTATTTAATTTAATTTTGAAATTCAGCACCATCTTTGAGCTAATAATGTTTGAGCTTAGTGCTCTGATTACTGCCTGGCTAGACATGATAGCTATGTTCTTATTTTTGTATGCTTTGTTGTGAGTTTTATTATTCACGTGTAATTTAGTCATCACTGATCATCCTGGACTGCCTATCTTTGCCGGTCGGCATTTTGCCAACTTCAATGCTGGGTCTGTCCAGATAGGTTAATGGTTTAAGATAACATGTTTCACAGACCAAACTCAGCTATGATAGGCAGGCCAGGATGATTAATGTTCATCACAACATAGACCACACTGATTAATATCACAAACTAATATAGACACAGACTTATATCTGCACAGTAATTATCATTATTAAAAGTAAAACATCTAGCCAAAAGCGTATAAAACTAGGGAAATAAATAATTTTGAAGAAGGATTGAAAAAATAAGTGTATTGCATGGAAAAGTAGAAAGAGATTTGTTTCTGTGAAAAAATTGTCATTTTCTTTCTAATATTTTCTAAAAGTCCGCTAACATATTATTTAATTATTTACCCACGTTAATGCACGGGGATTAAACTAAAAGATTATTGGGTTTCATGGAGGAAATAAAGCTGCATTAAATTTTTTTACTAAAAAGCTTTCTGAGGGGCAAAACTTAAATTTCTGAAAATTAGCTGTAAGAAAATCAATAAAAGTGGCCAGCATGAAAATAAAAATTGGCAATGTTAAAAATTATTTATTACACCATAAAATACAGTCTCTTGAATCAAAAAAATTAAAAATGTTATATGTAAAAATCTTTGACATATAATAAATAAATTATTAATTTAAGGAAGATAAAGATGTGTGGAGATAAGTGCTGATTGTGCAAAGTAGGGTAGAGAGCAGTGGGTTCATGCTGTCACGTAACATCTTGGTAAAAATATTGTTTAAAAACAAAAAATTGGGTAACTAATTGTTGTTAAACTGTTAAAAAAAATTGTTTACTTAGTGATCTCATAATCTCCCCATATTTATGGCAGCTCCAACCTGACATGTGGTGCAATGACACTTAGCCACATGTTCAAATCATGCCAGAGGTCATGCATCTTTGGTTTTTGCTTAAATTAAAACAGATTTATTTTATAAATTATGTGGATAGATTTCAACATAAGTTAAAATTCAGAAAATTGACTAGCTACAAAGTTATTTATGTGAAATTGTCTGGAAGATTCTTTCTTGTATAAAGAGGTCTCGCTCATAGGATACCAAAAAACTCTATTGTTATGGGATTTTTCCCCGAAAGTTCTAATGTAGTAATATTTTGTGGACTTTAAAATTCTGTTATCTCAATTGTAGGTTTCGAGCCTTTAGATGGCCTTGCAAATCCTCCTCTGGCCAGTTTGTATGTTTGTTTGTTACCCAAAATTGCCCCGGAAGATATTGTCAGTTGATATGTTTTCCATGGTTTTGTTTAAATCTGTTATAATTTACTCTATTCTGAATGTGACCTTTTTTTCCTGCTAATGCTTTTTTAGGATTTTTTGAGATTATAACCTCTTTTAATAGTTGAGACTTTATTAATTTCTATGTAGATTATCTACATGGGAATATGAGGATTCTTAGATAATGGGTTCATTAGCTCAGACCTAACCATGATTTTTCCCAAAAGTCCAAAAACTGATCAGAACATAACACCAGCAAAGACCCCTGAGTATTTATAGTGTGGGACTGTCAAGGAAAAAATTGATTTGTCTTAACCCAAACCTACAAAATAGATGTGCTCGTGAAAAATTACAAACTTCATATGCTCATTTCATATGAAAAATTCTTTGTTTATATAAATTGCCGGAACAAATATCTTTATTCTAAATATCATTAATTAGAAATATTGAGAAAAAAATTGTTTGTAGTTTTTATGGTTGATTTTTGATCCTTTTTCAAGCCAAAAACCCTTAAACTTGTAATGAATTATGATTTTTCAGATGCATGTCTAAGATGTCAAGCTGAAAGCAAACAGGATTCGAGATACGGGAAACAAGATTGTGTCGTAGTCTGGGGCGACTGCAATCATTCATTTCATTATTGTTGTATGTCTTTATGGGTTAAACAAAATAACAGGTAATAAATTAACATCATTATTATTTATATTACATTATTTATTATTGTATTCTAAAACAACTTTTTAGGTGTCCATTGTGCCAACAAGAATGGTCTATCCAAAGGATGGGTAAATAACACGATCTGTAGTTTATAATATTTAATTTATAATTAATTGGTATTGTAATTTATATGTACATAAATGAAGCAATAAAATTTTATTATCAATTTTGACTATGGCCACCAACAGAAAATAATATTTACAGCATTGTTTACCATCTTTCATTTCCTCTTGAAAAAAAATATTTTTTTAGAGCAAGCTATCACCGATTATCTTTAATATTCACTCTATGGCGGCTTGACGTGTTAGAAAAAAAATTTTTGTCGTGCAGATAAAAATAATTGATTGGCAACTGTTATGTAAAATAACCCCAATGGATTTATTGACTTTTATTTCAACATGAACTTTATTTTTACTTGATTAAATCCATTAGTTCACCTCTGAATATATTTGCACATCTATAAATTAAATGTTAAATAAATCCATGGAAATAATAACTTTTTTTTAAATATTCAAGTCAATTTTTAATTTTTTTAACACTCTGTAAGGTTTTTGACATAGGAAGTGAGACAACATTATTCTATAAATCGTTTATTAAATTATTAAATAATATCACAATAAATACAGGAATTAAAATTGCAACTACCTTAGAAGATGTGTTGCAAGTGATGGGATGCTGGAGGCATTTTAATCCCGATAATTTCAAAGAAAACCTTAGATCGTCTGGAAATCGACAGTCTTTTTCTGAAAATATCCAATCCATGTTAGACTATGTTAAAAACAACGTTTACATCTGATTTTTTAATAACAACCTGCGCATTTTCCAAAAGATCTTTTTGGATTAACTTCTATATACACTGGTCTACAGTCAGGATTCCAGTCTTCTTTTATCACTTCAGTGTTTTTTGAAGTGCATGGTGATTTGACTGTAAAAATTAAGTCCTCGTTGTAAGAGGACAATAAACAAGTTGAATTGTTGCTTTTCCAATACATGCATGCTTCTAGATTTCCATAATTATAGCTTAAAACCTGGAATTCAACCAAATGGTTAAATTAGTTATATTTTTCAAGTTAATTTTGTATTTTACCTTGATCTCTATTGTATCTCGGCCAGAGCACAAAAAAACTGGATGAATTCTGTATTTCTGTTTTGTTCCTGTTGTTATATATTGTTCAATAGTCATATTAACAAATCCGTTATCACCTTGAGTACAAAAAGTTGGTGCGAGAGACCGAGGAACTGTAAAAAAATCTAGTATGAATTATATAAATAAAACTTATGATCAATAAAAAGTTTTTACAATATTTTATAAAATTGCTTCACCAAGTTATAACTGTAACGAAACAACGTTTTCATGCAATAGATTAATTATGTGGGTCAGCAAATAAAAAAAAATTATCTGTTTACCATCTTGCAATATTTCCAACTCTCTATAAAGATTATACTTGTTTTTGTCATCTAGTTTAATAATGTGGTCACTCTGTGAACCTGGTAGTAATGTCATCCGGGTGAAAGATCTTCTGTTTATTGTTGACGTTACATAAATGAATTTCATATCTGAAATAATCAAATAAATAATAGTTGAAAAAGTAAAGTTAGTAAAATAATAGTTTGTAAGGCTGATTTTTTTTAAACCTACCAGGATTGAAAGACTTTACAGATTTTACTGTGCTTTCAATATCATTGTATAAACTGTCACTTATTGGTGTTGATGGTGTGAGTATGAGTGTCACTAAGCCAAGTGGCTTATTTTCAAAATACAATGTAGATTCAAGAAGTAATTTCAATGCTATGAATCCCCTTTCCAAATTAGTAGAATCTGTAACTGTGAAATCAGTTTTTAAATTAAAATGTTAACCTTTTTTTTTAACAAAAGCATACTTTTTTTATATGAAGGTGCTGTCGTCCAGAGAAGATACAATTCGCTTGTAGTTTTTGCAGAATTTACAGTCAAGTCACCTGTAACTCCATTTATCACAGATATAGTGCTTCCGTAGTGTGAAACATCTATCTTATTTGCGATATGCCTGTTAAATCAAATATAAATTAAGTTGTTTTAAAAATAATCATGTCATTACTTACATCAGTACTTCCAATGTCTCATAGGAACTCCAAGTTGAGTCGAAAACAACAAACAAATGGAGTTTTGTCCGAATCTGGTCTTTCACAGGACAAGGTTTGTTCCAGGAGGATACTAAGTTTGCTGAAAATATTAACAAAAATTCATTTTGATATTTTTAAATAGTCTTCTTCCTTTTTGTTTTGTGAAATAAAACTGATCTATTTTTCAGTAATATTTAATATTAAATTTTTGTAGGTTGTCATCTCTTTTCAACCTGATCAGGTTATTTAGCTGCATTTTACCATTGTTTACATGTTAATAAAGAATAATAATGAGGATGGTATTATTATTACTATTTAAAAAAAAAAAAAAAATAAATAAAACAGAAATCAGCGGCTCGTAAGTGAGCAGGCAAGCCAGTCCAAATAAGGGACACCATCATTCATCTGCCACAATGCTTAAGCATCGACCACTTTTTCACTTAGGAATACTCTGGGTAAAGGTATGGTCCTGAAGAAGAAAGCCAATTCACTTGCTACTGCCAAACTTTTGACATATTTAAGTTTTCCTCCTTCAGGCCTTGGCTCCTTGGATCACCTGTAAAAACAAATATGTCAATCTGTAGACATATTTAAGATTATTTTGCCCTGATGATTACTTAAAATAGGTCGAAAGATTGGCAGTAGGAACTTAATTTGCTTTCTTCTTCAAGATCCAATGTTCATATTGCTTAAGCAATTTACATGTGAAACAAGATGATTGGGGATAGCAGACAAAAGATGTGCATGTGCCTGATCCATCCCTCAAGGTCTGTCCAGGGTGTTCCCTAAGGAAAAACTCACCACCCTTATTTGAGTTCTACCACGGAAACAATTATTTTCCTGGTTTTCTAAAGTTCAGATAAAAGATCAGTCTTAGGAAATTGAAGAAATTATATGACTATCATCAGACAATATTTCACCTAAACTCATCTGATTTTTCTCCATCACAAATCAAAAACGTTCAGTTAATATGTGCTTGATTGTTCCTGACTGCTTTGGCAAATCGGAGTAAGGATTATATTAAGGTGTGCCATATACCATTTCTTCCTTATGGGTAATTTGAACGGCAGCGGGTTATTGTTTAACTTTTCTTTTAAATTTGTTAAATATTTTCCAGATCTTATTTTTACATCTGAAAGGAAGTCTTCAGAAACTCAGTCAAACCTAATGGTATCCGCATGAATAGAACAAAGACATTTTTTGCTTAAAGTTCTCCTAAGGATGGATAAATTTCTTGAATTATGGGATTAACGGAATTGGTTCTGGTTGACCAATAGTGCAGCCAAAAAATCAGAGAGCTTTAGAATATGAATTTAAACTTTTATTAAGTGAAATTGCTGCTTTTTCTGGATCCGCTTGTAAATAAAGGTTGCCTTTGCCCTGGATTAATGTAATTTGAGAAATTCATGTTTGCCTATGAGAGGTAGAGTGTTTTTGTATTTTTTTAATATTGTTTTTAATGAGGGTTCACAACAGCAGAGGCCATATCAACCTCAGGGTGTCGGTGTTTAAAAAAAAAAAAAAAAAAAAGCCCATTTGTAAGTTTGTTGGGTTCAAATGCAGGGCTGCTGGATTCAAACCCGTGGTCTTTACCTTTCAGTGATCACCACCATGTCAACACCTAAACCGATGCTGCCAACGACGCCTCCTAGTTTTATTATTTTAGAAACTTTGTTAAATGAAGAGAAAGTTTAAGTATGAGAAGTTGTTAGTTTTAAATCTGTGTTAATTGTTCTATGTTGTGAATAAACTGAAGGAATGAATGGATTATTTCACTACATACTTTTTTTTCTACTTTAGATATTATATTTCAGTACATTAAATCAAAAGTTTAATTTAGTCCAGCCTTGGTCAAAATTGAACAGATTTTAAGACCAACCGATGATAGGACCAAAATGATCGCAACCAAATACCAAGCTCAGTAGTCATTACCCAGCAGGCAACAATCTTGAAATTTTAAATAAATTCATAATTTTTGAAAATATAAGTTTGATATAATTATTATTTTATTAAGTAGGAAAGTATATCAATAATGAAGACAGTAAGCCAGGAAAATTTTAAAGCTGTATTGATTTAAAAAAAATTGTTTTGACTTCTTTCAAAAATACGTTATTTTAATATCACTTGCAAGGCCAGTTAAACTTTTATTAAAGCCGATATTGTCAGTAAACCACCTTATCTTACAAAAAATATATGTTTTATCTTTCTTGGATTTGATTTAATCATATTATTATGAGATCAAAAAAGATCAAGGCTGAAATTGTGAAATATTGAACAGTTCAATTTTTACAGCCACCTTGTTGTAAATGATAGTGTTAACCAACTTACAAGCGTAATTCTTAAATTTTGCTAATGTTCTATCCAATTGGTGACTGATGAATAAAGTGTCATTGAAATAACGAGGAGCATAAGTAGCGAGAACTTCTGCGAACCTCGACGTCTGAAATAATTTATTGATTAGCATTTCTACATTTTGACAGAAAAGTACTAATTTTTTTTTTTTTTTTTTTTTTTTACCTGATCATATAATAATTTATCTTTTGATAAAAGTGTTCCAAAGAAATAATTTTGCCTCGTGCATGCTCTGGTTTGGCTCGGAAAATTACCTCCTCTGTTAGTGTAAAACATTTCAAGAACTTGTGAAAGCCTCAGTGAGTAAGTTATGTTTGAATATCTGACAATTTCATTGGCTAATATTAAACCTATAAAAAAAATCAAATCAATTGCTTGATGATACTATTTCATGAAATAAATACCGTCGATGCCTCCAAGTATTTCTGCATCGGTAAATTGCCAACATTCATCATGTATGATATTATAATCGGCCTTTATATAACTGTGTACGGGTAATTCTGAATTGTTCCAAATACTTGGAGGTCCCATGAACGCTTTTTGAACCATTGGCATTTGAAATATTAAGACTTCAGCCAGATCACCTTAAACAGCAAAATCTGAACAATCAGCATAGACAAGCAATTATAATAATGTACAAATTGTTTTTAAAAGGAAGTAGATATATGTAAAATATAAATAAAAAGCTAACTAAGTGAACAATGAAACAGGGCTAACCGAATTATTTCTTTAAACTTATGGCAGTCTTCTTTCTGAAAGAATATATTGCACCATTTTAGAAATGCATGATTCTAAACCATAATTTGTCGCATATTAGTGAGCATAAAACAATTCATAAGTGTAGAGTCCGCAAAAACCTATGCTACACAAAATTTCCAAGGGATCAATTGTATTGTTCATGATCTTCCATGGAGACTAAACGAAATCAGGACATTTTTTCTAGAGAATCCATTCTGACCAGATACAGTCTTATGTTACAGGGGATATCATAATTGCTTAGCATATTCATTTTCAAAAATATGTATTTAGAGGGCCTCCTATGATACCCCTTTTCCATCCTATGCGATCCTCTGATTGACCCAGGTGACCAAACAATACTGTCGTACTCCATATTGATGCGTACCAGTAATTGGTAAAGGATTTATTAAGACAAACGAATTTTTTAAATATACAATCTGTTTTTTTCCTTAAAACCACAGGTTGCAGTTGTTATTAAAAAGGTTCAAGATTGAGCTGACATCCTCAAATGTTCATTAAATGTATAAACAAACAACTTTAAAGAAGATAATAAGTTAACTTAAAAAACAAAAGGTAAAAATGAGAAAATTAGCAATTGATTATCCAACAGCCGACTAAAACAAGGACAAGAAAATTTTAGTTTACTACACTTGCGCCAAGACCAGAAGGATTCCAGAACCTCCTATAAAAGAATGTATTAATCCAAAATCCAAAAGAAAAAAATAGGGCGAAAGTTATAGGATTTTTAAGACAAATGGATGTTTTGTAAATCTATCGTCTTATCATTTTTTACAAATCAACACAATCAAAGTAGCAGTTCTTATTGCAAATACATCCTAGGGTCCTAGGTCCAAGATCAAGTTGAAGTTCTCAAAGTAAATGGCTTATGTCTATACAAACAACTTAGGTCCATTCGCAAACCTTTTTCTTGTAAGATTTCATTATTAAGAAGAAGATAATAAGAAAATTAAAAAAAGATAAGAATAAGACATTTAAATTTACTACACTTGTACCAAGGCCTGAAGAATTCTAGGACCTCCTGTGAAAGACTATATTGATCAAAAATCCAAAAGAAAATAATTAGGGTGAAAGATGGAGGATTTTTTCAATCTACCTTCTATCATTTTACAAATCAACACAATGAATGTCGCAGTTCTTATTGAAAATAATCCCTAGGTCTGAGATCAAGCTGAAGTCGTCAAAGAGAACGGCCATTAAGTGTATAAACAAACCAGTTAGGTTGGTTTTGTGTGTAAGATTCTTAGGTCGCAAGAAAGGAGTGCACATGAGGTATTTTAAAGACCTAGCTAAGTCATCAACAAGTAATAAACAATATTAGTGACAACCCTGTGACACACCCGAATCTCTAAAGATCTAGGCTGATGACCCTTCCCCGAATTTCAAAGTAAAGGATTCTACATCCTAGTTTTTCCTGTTTTTTTACCAACATGAAATCATCCACAGTTTCAAAGGCAGTCTAGAATTCATAGGGAGAAATTAACCAGTCGAAATACCGCATATTGTTGAGGCCCAAACGTTGTTTATTGTCTCATAAAGTGTGTTATTTTCCTTTGTACTTTGAAGTAAAAACTGCTGGTTGAGTTCAAGAGGTTGTAAAGCGGATGCTATTGCGCCTAAGATGTGGTTAGGGCTAACTGTGCCATATCCTCGAGTTGAAATCACCCCATTTTCAATCGGACATGTACTCTTCTTGACGCCAGACCATTCGTGATTTTCCCTTTAAAAATAAACCAAATCAATAAATCATTTTTCAGACGGTTGGATCATTACAGACCATTGTTTCTGAAATGATCTCTGGTCTGGGCATGTTTGATCTTCATCTCCTCTTTCCCAAATATCGATTGAACTCGAGAGCATAAAATGCAATGTACACTTGAAAAGACAATGGATTAATTATTCTCTTCATCAAAATATTCATAATTTTTTTCGGATTGAAGGGATTTATTATATGTATATACCTTTTCTTCAAGAGTTAAAATTTCATTTGGTAAAAAATATCCTGAGTTTGGTATCAAATATGAATATAACAATTTGTATTTGTGGCTCTGAAACCCTGATGTTTTATACCCAATAACATTTGGATTATTATAAATAATATTAGGATCTCTCACAATTCCATCTCTCCAAAACCTGAACAATTATTTTTCTACATTACACAAATCCTCAGTCCTCTTAAACATTTAAAATTTGGTTTATAAATGTGAAAATACCGGTTTATGATCGCATTCGTCAGCATTCTCATATCCATATAGAAATGCTCACTCGTTTCCACCTTACGAATGATGTCAATGAGTGTTGTCATCGACATGGGCATCAGTGTCACTTTCTTCTCATAGCATTCATAGAGATGAACCGGTATGGAGTCATGATCAGCATAGTGAGCTATTAAACAAAATATAATTTAAAATAATAAACATAATTGTAGTTTTACTCACTGTCAAAACTGAAAAACATGAGATAGAACAAGCCAAATAATGACTTCATAATCTCTTTGTCGTTACTACACTCCCATTTCACACCACCTTATCATCATCTTGTTTTACATGATAAGATAACATATTTTGTATTTTATAGATATATTTCGATACTTTGGAAAATAAATTTCACGTATAGTTAGCCATTACATTGATTCTCAAAAATCACGATTACAAATCACTTTTCATACTTTATGAATGACAGTGTACAAATGTAATTTATTAGTGTAAAAGTTAAAACCCAGAGGAATATCAGTTCTCTGGGTGGTGTGAATAAAGTCTGGTGTGAGAATGTTATTTCTTAGTGTGAAAGTAAAGACACAAGAGAATGTTAAGTTCTCTGGGAATAAGTAGGGTGAATGAATGAAGGTGTGCAAATGTAATTTATTAGTGTGAAAGTAAAGACACAGATAAATATCCAAGTTTTCTGTGTGTAGGGTGAATGAATGACAGTGTGCAAATGTAATTTATTGGTATGAAAGTAAAGACACAGATGAATATCCAAGTTCTCTGTGAGAAGGGTGAATTCTTCACTAGTTCAACTTGTGTATCAATCTTGTTAAAAATTGGTCAAAATATATAGAAAAACTTTCTAAACTAAGGAAATATCAAAACGTCTGAAAAAACTTCGTAAAAGTATGTTTTTTGCCCCGTTTTTCGATTTTGAACTACCGGTTGAAACGAAAGTCGCGAGTGAGCGAATGAAGACGGTCGAACAGTTCAACTTGATCTCGTGTATCAATCTTATTAAAAATTGGTCAAAATATATATAGAAAAACATTCTAAAATTAAGAAAATATCAAAAGTCTAAAGAAACTTCGTAAAAGTACGTTTTTTGGTTGATTCGAGAGTTACGAGTTAGCGCATGAAGCGTGTCGATTAGTTCAACTTGATCTTGCGTATCAATGTTGTTAAAAATTGGTCAAAATATATAGAAAATTTGTCTAAACTAAGGAAATATCAAAAGTCCGGGTGCAAGATTCACCTCCTGTAACGTCACGATAGCTTGCATATGCATGTTTCTTTGACATATGCTCGCTGGAATTTAAATTTGCATTCAGTTAGTTTCGAACTGGCCTTGTAACAACACCTGTGTTTAAACTGTTTCTTAGCCCTTCTGATATTCCAGTTGTGTAAGTATATAATATATTATGTATTTAAAATGTATGATTGTACACAACGTTAAATAATATTTTTTATTGCAGGAAATATCAATTTCTTTTTTTACTGTTTCATTCTTCTGTTGTTTTGTTCTGTTGATTTAGTGTATTGTAAGTTTTCGATGACAGATATTGCATGTAGTGAACAAATTATTTAACAAATTTATTTAAGTTACGCCTGCACAAAACCCTTAGTTCAGCGACAGATGATGTTGCGTCTGTACAGATTCGGAGAATGTTTGTAAGCAATAAACCCTTCCCTGTTCACTATTCCCATTACACTTGTAAAGACAGATTCAGATTAATCATATCCGTGAACAGGAAAGGTTCTTCTCAAATTATAAGTTGTGCTTAACTAATAAAGTTCTTTTTAAAAAGACTCTCGTTTAGTCAACACACGTAACTGGCGCAGTCGGTAGGACATCGCAAAGGTTTTTCAAGGGAATATTGAAAACCAATCGTNTTTGATTTACTTCTGGGATTAGACAACATTAAGAAATTAAACATACAGTTAGATTTTAATTCTAACAAACTTTATTTTAAAGGAAAATACATTCCTATTTTGTATTTTGATACGCGTTCTAGTCAAGAGAAGCCTCCAACAGGGAGTACACCGGTTGGATCTCAAGTGACTAGTTACGTTCTGGAGCCCAGAAGCGAAAAAACTGTAAAAATAAAAGTAAAAAACATTAAAGATGGAGAAGGTGTATTAAATTATCATAACGTAGCGGGAATAGAAATCCCGCAATGCTTAGTAAAAATTAAAAATAATGAAGCATTTTGTAAAATGTACAACCCAAAAGATAGCAGCATTAAATTAACAATAACGCAACCATTCGTGGTAGATAATCTACAAGACTACGAAATTAAATCGCGGCATTTTAGTTCAAAAATTAACAATAATTTTAACATGCTCGGAACAACAAAGAAACAAAAATTAGGTTTAAATCATGTAAACACGAACAATCCTAAACAACACTGGGAAAAAATCCGCACAGAACATATGAACACCGAAGAAAAAGAAATGATTATGAAACTGGTGGAAAATTATATGGACATATTTTATGAAGAAGGTACGCCACTTACATTTAGCAATAAAGTAAAGCACATAATACGGACAAGGGACGAAATTCCCATATGTACAAAATCGTACAGATATACGGACGTTCATAGAGAGGAAGTCAATAGACAAGTTAACTCTATGTTACAACAAAAAATTATCAGACCGTCTTATTCTCCATGGAATTCACCAATCTGGATAGTTCCAAAAAAACTGGATATGTCTGGAAGACAGAAATGGAGAATAGTAATAGACTACCGGAAACTAAACGATAAAACAATAGACGACAAATATCCAATTCCTAACATTACTGAACTACTTGACAAATTAGGGAGATGTCAGTACTTTACCACCATAGATTTAGCCTCAGGTTTTCACCAAATCGAGTTGGATGAAAATAGCATACAAAAAACGGCATTTTCGACAGAACAGGGCCACTGAATTTCTTCGTATGACCTTTGGTCTAAAAAATAGTCCACCAACCTTTCAAAGGACAATGGACAACATACTTCGAGGCACAAAAAACGCTATAGTATATTTAGACGATATACTAGTATTTAGTACCAGTCTTCAAGAACACATGGAAACGTTAAAAGAAGTTTTCGAAAAACTTAGAGGAGCTAAATTTAAAATACAACCAGACAAAACGGAATTTTTAAAACACGAAGTAGATTATTTAGGTCATGTCGTTACTCCGGAAGGTGTTAAGCCGAATCCAAATAAAGTACGAGCTATCCAAGAATATCCCCTTCCCAAAACAATAAAAGAAATTAAAGCATTCCTCGGTCTAGTCGGGTACTATAGGAAATTTATACCTGACTTTGCAAAGATAACGAAACCCCTTACACAGTGTCTAAAAAAAGGAGCGAAAATTAACATCAACGAACCATCTTATATTAACAGTTTCAATCTTTGTAAAAGTATACTAATGAATGATCCAATTTTAAAATACCCGGCGCAGTTTTGTCCCAAAATTTTAATGGAAAAGAATTGCCTATAGCTTATGCTAGTAGAACCCTCTGTGAATCTGAAACAAAATTGTCTACGATAGAACGGGAATTACTTGCAATTGTTTGGTCAACAAAATATTTTAGGCCATATTTGTTCGGTAGGAAATTTGTTATACAGTGTGATCATAAATTAAATGAACTCCGAATAAAAATTACTTTTTAAAAAGAATTTTATTGTTAGAGGTACAACTGTTCAGACGGGGCTTACAGCAGAGAATGATTAAAATTAAAATAATAAGCGCATAGGAAGGGAAGGGGTTTTAGATTAGTTATCAGAAGACATAGTGTCAGCAGTGTCGGATTACTGTTTCCTTTCCTGTAACTCCTCCCTCCTCAGGATGAAAGCTGTCCTCAGCGTTCACACGGTAGCTTGAGGTCCAATTTTGATGTTGTAGGATGTTTGCTTATCTCTTCTGCGTTGCTCTTAGTCTACTCTGATGATAACCGCTGTTTTGCTAACATTTGAAGAAATAATATTCTATTTTTAAATAATAGATAACATAATATAACCAGCGTCATTATTAACAATATTAAATATATAATTTTATAATGGTTAACTGGCAGTTGAACTAATTCCTCCAATGGGTCTACATTAATATTGGATTTATGGATTGTTTCAAAACTTATATTTAGATGCTTATATGCAACTGGGATAATATAATTTTTTGTAATAATTGATTCAAAATAAGTGTATGGTTTAGCAAAGTTGTTAAGTGTTTCATTTTCGTTTAATGATATTAGTGCTGTTTCTTGTAGATATACAACATTCGTATTATTATGATTCTTGATTGTTATTTGTTTGTTATTATAAGATAAATATTGATTAATGACATTAACATATTTAATAAATGATTTTGGTTGAGGTATGATGTAAGATTTACAATTTTTTGCATCATTTTCCTCTAATATTTTCTTTATACATGGATTATATAATCTAGACATAATTTTACAATAATAATTATCTTTTAGTAATGTACAATCTCCTGCAAGTAACCCCTCGCGTTTCACAATAAGAGATGGATGCACAATTGTGGTGATTGTTTTACTTTCATGGTCAATTGGGTATGATAGGAAAAAATAGGTTTCGAATGCAGGGGAATATAAGGGTAACTGAATGAAATAAGAAATGAAATCGCTATGTATGGAGCAATGTACTCTCCCTATTTGCCATAAAATCTCTGGATCCTTTGATATTAATGATACATGAGTTTTTGATGTTAATTCCCTAATTTCTTTATGTGTTATTATACTGGAATGGATTACATTTGTTTTACAAAATTCTAAGCTATCAGCAATGTCCTTTATTTTGTTATAAAGTAATGATAGTGATGTAAAAAGGATTGAATATTTTTGAGTAAGTTCTATTGCATTTGTTGTGTTTTCGAAATATTTAAGATAGATATGTAATTTTACATTATTTTCTTGAACGATTCCTATATCTTTATTGAATTCTTTAATTAAACGTTTATTTAATGACAGTTGTTTTTCTACATTGTGTTCTAAAGTATATTCATTTGTTTGAATTTTCATTATTATTTCGTCATATTTTTCTTTGTCGTTATGGTCCATGTTTCCAGTTAGCCAAGAAATTGCAGTCCCTAAACCATTAATTAATCCTCTTTTGAATCTAAAATTATTATTTCTCGTGTTTAGATGAATATGGTCTAGTTTGTTTTGA